ATGCATGTCACATATGACCCACCAACGCCATGGCAGACTATGTGATGCAGTCAACGCTTGTTCGCCCCAGTTTCCGTCCCGGATGATCATAGCTGAACACCGCCAGCACCACCTTAGAAAATCCCCGTCAGGACGGGTTACGACTGCGCTCACATGACATCCATCCTCCCCTCCCACCGCAGCAACAACACAGACCGGCCGGGGGACCCCACCCAAGCGAGCAGCGGCGGCCGCCTCTCCCGCCACCGCAGCAACACACAGACCGGCCGGGGACCCACACCCAGCGAGCAGCGGCGGCCGCCTCTCCCTCCCACCGCAGCAACAACACAGACCGGCCGGGGGACCCCACCCAGCGAGCAGCGGCAGCCGCCTCTCCCTCCCACCGCAGCGACAACACAGACCGGCCGGGGGACCCACCCAGCGAGCAGCGGCGGCCGCCTCTCCCTCCCACCGCAGCAACAACACAGACCGGCCGGGGGACCCCACCCAGCGAGCAGCGGCGGCCGCCTCTCCCTCCCACCGCAGCAACAACACAGACCGGCCGGGGGACCCCGCCCAGCGAGCAGCGGCGGCGGCTCTCCCTCCCCCGCAGCAACAACACAGACCGGCCGGGGGACCCCCACCCAGGGAGCAGCGGCGGCGCCTCTCCCTCCCACGCAGCAACAACACAGACCGGCCGGGGGACCCCACCCAGCGAGCAGCGGCGGCCGCCTCTCCCTCCCACCGCAGCAACAACACAGACCGGCCGGGGGACGCCGCCCAGGGAGCAGCGGCGGCGGCCTCTCCCTCCCACCGCAGCAACAACACAGACCGGCCGGGGGACGCCGCCCAGGGAGCAGCGGCGGCGGCCTCTCCCTCCCACCGCAGCAACAACACAGACCGGCCGGGGGACCCCACCCAGCGAGCAGCGGCGGCGCCTCTCCCTCCCACCGCAGCAACAACACAGACCGGCCGGGGGACCCCACCCAGCGAGCAGCGGCGGCCGCCTCTCCCTCCCACCGCAGCAACAACACAGACCGGCCGGGGGACCCCACCCAGCGAGCAGCGGCGGCCGCTCCCCCTCCACCGCAGCAACAACACAGACCGGCCGGGGACCCCACCCAGCGAGCAGCGGCGGCCCTCTCCCTCCCACCGCAGCAACAACACAGACCGGCCGGGGGACCCCACCCAGCGAGCAGCGGCGCGCCGCCTCTCCCTCCCACCGCAGCAACAACACAGACCGGCCGGGGGACCCCACCCAGCGAGCAGCGGCGGCGCCTCTCCCTCCCACCGCAGCAACAACACAACCGGCCGGGGGACCCCACCAGCGAGCAGCGGCAGCCGCCTCTCCTCCCACCGCAGCAACAACACAGACCGGCCGGGGGACCCCACCCAGCGAGCAGCGGCGGCCGCCTCTCCCTCCCACCGCAGCAACAACACAGAGGCCGGGGGACCCCACCCAGCGAGCAGCGGCGGCCGCCTCCCCCCCACCGCAGCAACACAGACCGGCCGGGGGACCCCACCCAGCGAGCAGCGGCGGCCGCCTCTCCTCCCACCGCAGCAACAACACAGACCGGGGGGGACCCACCCAGCGAGCAGCGGCGGCCGCCTCTCCCTCCACCGCAGCAACAACACGACCGGCCGGGGGACCCACCCAGCGAGCAGCGGCGGCCGCCTCTCCCTCCCACCGCAGCAACAACACAGACCGGCCGGGGGACCCCACCCAGCGAGCAGCGGCAGCCGCCTCTCCCTCCCACCAGCGACAACACAGACCGGCCAGGAGACCCCACCCAGCAGCGGCAGCCGCCTCTCCCTCCCACCGCAGCGACAACACAGACCGGCCGGGGGACCCCACCCAGCGAGCAGCGGCAGCGCCTCTCCCTCCCACCGCAGCGGACAACACAGACCGGCCGGGGGACCCCACCCAGCGAGCAGCGGCGCCCCTCTCCCTCCCACCGCAGCGAAACACAGACGGCCAGGGGACCCCACCCAGCGGAGCAGCGGCAGCCGCCTCTCCCTCCCACCGCAGCGACAACACAGACCGGCCGGGGGACCCCACCCAGCGAGCAGCGGCGGCCGCCTCTCCCTCCCACCGCAGCACAACACAGACCGGCCGGGGGACGCCGCCCAGCGAGCAGCGCGGCGGCCGCTCTCCCTCCACCGCAGCGACAACACAGACCGGCCGGGGACCCCACCCAGCGAGCAGCGGCGGCCCCTCTCTCCCCCTCGGTACCGCAGCTACAACACGACCGGCCGGGGGACCGCCCCCAGGGACAGCGGCAGCCGCTCTCCCTCCACCCAGTCACAACACAGACAGACCGGCCGGGACCCCACCGCAGGAGAGCGGCGGCCCCTCTCCCTCCCACCGCAGCGAACAACACAGGAACCGGCCGGGGGACCCCACCCAGCGAGCAGCGAGGCGCCGCCTCTCCCTCTACCGCAGCTACAAACAACAAGACCGGCCGGGGGACCGCCACCCAGAGCAGCGGCAGCCGCTCTCCCTCCCTCCCACCGCAGCGACAACACAGAAACCGGCCGGGGACCCCCACCAGCGAGCAGCGGCGGCGGCCTCTCCTCCCCACCGCGCGTACAACACAGACGGCCGGGGGAACCCCACCCAGCGAGCAGCGGCGAGCCGCCTCTCCTCCCACCGCAGCGACAACACAGACCGGCCGGGGGACCCCACCCAGCGAGCAGCGGCGGCCGCCTCTCTCCTCCCCTCGTACCGCCTACAACACAGACCGGCCGGGGACGCCGCCCAGGGGCAGCGGCAGCCGCCTCTCCCTCCCACCGCCAGCGACAACACAGACCGGCCGGGGACCCCACCCAGCGAGCAGCGCGGCGCCTCTCCCTCCCACCGCAGCGACAACACAGACCGGCCGGGGGCCCCGCCCAGGAGCAGCGGCGGCGGCCTCTCCCTCCCACCGCACAACAACACAGACCGGCCGGGGGACCCACCAGCGAGACAGGCGGCGGCCTCTCTCCTCCCACCCACCGCAGCAACAACACAGACCGGCCGGGGGACCCCACCCAGCGAGCAGCGGCGGCGTCTCTCCCACCGCAGCGACAACACAGACCGGCGGGGGACCCCACCCAGCGAGCAGCGGCAGCCGCCTCTCCTCCCACCAGCAACAACACAGACCGGCCGGGGGGACCCCCCACCCAGCGAGCAGCGGCGGCGCTCTCCCCTCCCACCGCAGCGACAACACAGACCGGCCGGGGACCCCACCAGCGAGCAGCGGCGCCCCTCTCCCTCCCACCGCGCAACACAGACCGGCCGGGGGACCCCACCAGCGAGCAGCGGCAGCGCCTCTCCCTCCCACCGCAGCGACAACACAGACCGGCCGGGGGACCCCACCCAGCGAGCAGCGGCGGCGCCTCTCCCTCCCACCCACACAACACAGACCGCCGGGGGACCCCACCCAGCGAGCAGCGGCAGCCGCCTCTCCCTCCCACCGCAGCGACAACACAGACCGGCCGGGGGAACCCGCCCCAGCGAGCAGCGGCGGCGCCTCTCCCTCCTCACCCAGCGACAACACAGACCGGCCGGGGGACGCCGCCCAGGAGCAGCGGCGGCGGCCTCTCCCTCCCACCGCAGGCGACAACACAGACCGGCCGGGGGAACGCCGCCCAGCGAGCAGCGGCGGCGGCCTCTCCCTCGTACCGCGCGACGCAACACAGACCGGCCGGGGGACGCCGCCAGCGAGCAGCAGCGGCGGCCTCTCCCTCGTACCGCAGCGACAACACAGACCGGCCGGGAGGACGCCACCCAGCGAGCGCCGGTGGCGGTGCGCGGCCGACCCCCCGCGCGGCTCAACCGGTGACCGGAGACGGCATCAGCGGGCTGAGGAGCGTCCCAAGTGCGGCGCCGAGCAGCAGGCAGACGGCCAGCTCAGCAGCATCGTCCACCTCATGGCGACCGGCCGGCCGCGGCCGCTCTGTGACACGTACCGGCCGGTCTCCTAGCTATCGAGCGGCGTGGACGCAAACCGTGGGAAAACGGGGTGAATCAATGAGGCCACGGGCATGGCCGGAGCGAAGCCGCAGCCGGAACAGTCTCACCTGCTATGGGTAGCGTTGGCAGCGCGGCTGGTAGCATGGCTACCTGCGGCTACTGCGGCGCAGAACACTCGCAATATGGTGACCGAGCGCTGTGGGAACCTAATGTAAGGTCCGATTCGATAGTTGTTTGGCGGTCATACTACGTTGGACGTGAGGTCAGAGACAAACTTATCGATTGTGATGTTGTCATTGCCTCGTTGTCGATCGCTATGATGTCTATGTCTGTGTGGGAAATCGGCAAAATATGGTATTACGTGTATTGAACTAAATCTGCACGAACACAAATAGCGAAATTCGAAACGAAGTGTGTCCCCCCGATGCAAAGAATGAGATCGTATTCGGCGAATCAACGAATGAGACTGTGCTCTTGAGCAAGCTACGGTGACTCCACAAATGCCACTACAGGCACAGCGAAAACAACAGTAATCACATGCAGTCCAAGAACCATTCCGCTGTTTTATGGTCACGATGACAGCATACAATCACGGCAAGTGACATCGTGCTGCCGTTAGTAACGCCATTTGAACTGAGGAAGACAAAAACTTCCTTTGCTTCATGGAAACAATAAAATATAGAAAAACGAGCAAGTCCCGCGGTCTTGCAGGAAAAACTAACACAAGAACCTAATTTCACACGCCGCATTAATGTTAGCATGTAACAAGCAACGCAAATCCTGCGGCCAACCATACCTTGGACACGCCAGTTATGATAACACGGCCGACAAGGCACGGTGTGCTGTGCAAATCCTGGTCCATGGAGGCGAGCGAAAACCGTGATGAGCAAATTGGCCGCATTGCAAGAGCGCATCGTTCGCCCACCACGGCACATCCCCGTCACGAACAGCCTATCCACTGTGTCGCAAGCGTCAGTTCATCAACGACCAACGACCGAATCACAATCATCGGTCATCCCCGGTCGAAGCCGGGCCTCCGACCGAGCCCCGCTCGCCGGGGGAGGCATCAGTACCTGGCGCCGAACACGACATCCACCACGATGTCCCGCTCCAGGTCCAGGTACCACACCTGCTCGTCCACACGGTGGAGCGTGGCGCGCCTCCACTTTCGCCAGCGGCCGGCGCAGCAGCTCGGGCCGCGCCTCGAGCACGTCCAGCGCCGCCATCAGGTCGTCCCCGTGACGACGGCCGACTGGCCGGGCCGGCAGCCGAGTGTGATGTGCGCGCGCCGGCCGGGCGCCGTCCGCGGCCGCCGCTTGGTCCCGGCCACGGCCAGCGACGGCTGCGTGGCCCCCGGGCGCCAGTCGGCCGGCCGGCGCGCCGCCCCGCCCGGCCGCCGGCGCCGGCGCCGGGGGTCGGCCTCCAGTCGTCCTGCTGCCAGAGCGCCAGCTGCGCCTCGTCCAGCGTGAGCCGCGCGCCGAGCGTGCGCGGCGTCAACAGCAGACCGGTGACGCGCGCCACCGAGCGGTGTCCGACGGCGCGGCGCACGTCCACCCGTTCGGCGTAGCCGCGCGCGCCGGCCGCCCGCCCGCGGCCCGCAAGAAGCGCGCTGTGCAGTGCAGCAGCTCGGGCGGCGCCGGGTACAGTGCCGACAGGTCTGAGGGGGCGGCGCCGCGGTTAACAACCGGTGCGCACGCGCCGGACGCGGAGGACAGCCATGACCAGGGCGATGGGCTCAGCATGCAGATAAAATACGACTTGTGCACAGAAAAGCGTGCTCCATACTCCAGACTGTGATCCATAAACTCAGGTAGATAAAAGGCGTATGCAGGTCCCAGCTAACGAGGTCGTGGAATACAGCAGTGACTACTCAACGCTAGATACCGCGCATGCGCGAGTGTTTAGACACGAGAGCTACAGGTACAACATACCACGTGACATCACGCTGAGCCCTTTGGACTGCGTCTGCCATGACGCACCACACGCTCGAACAGACAGAAGACGCGGGCCGGTGCCGTTCGTTCCGTCGTGTTATGAGCCACACGCCGCGCCGGGCCGGCTATCAATATGAAGTGTCTCGCACCTGAGATACGTGAGCTGCCAGTGATGGCACGGAAGTCATCGGCGAACGCCTTGCTGGCTCGGAACACCTTTTCCAGGATCAGCCGGGCCCGGTCCAGCAGTGCTTGGCAGTCTGCCGCGTTCAAAATCCAGCCGTAGTAGAGAGGTATGGAGATCTGCAGCGACTTCAACTTCCGCCTGAGTGAAAAAAGTAGAAAAGATAACTGTATTAGAGTACAGAAGTAGACAGGTTCGCCGACACAACGGAGCATTTTGTGAAAAAGCAACAGATTGGATCACGATGCCGCCTGCACCCAACACAACGTGCCGTGCACGTGCCAAGTCACCGCGATTTCGCACGGCACACCACGCGTTCACAAACGGTATTTCAGCACTGACACGTGCCAGTACAATCCCTGGGCAAAGCGTTTTCCAAAAACATTGGTGATGATCAACTTTCCTTAACAGCACCCTTCCCCCTCCGTCATTCCGTGTGTACTTTTCCCTGATCACTGGGACGCTCCGGGTTCCCACAGTCATTAATCTGTCAAAAAAATTAAGCCCGATTGTTTTTCTTCCTTGGTAAACTGCGGCCTCTCACAGGCCTCAACAGAAGCGCCGCCCTACTTCTTCACATTGGCCAGTGCACCCTCGCCTCCCATTGTACGGCTGACGTCCCCATGCCCGCTCGGCGAGGCGCCTCCCGCCGCGGCCGGCCCCCTACCGGATGTCCTCTTCAGGCACGGCGTGGCTGTTCATCTGGACGAGCCGGCCGGGTCGCGGCGCCACGGCGTGTCGGGCTCCACCAGCAGCAGCACGTACTGGTGACGCAGCGCGATGGCGCGCGTACGGCCGCCACTCCCAGTCGCGCACGTTCGTGTTGTCGACCACCAAGTGGGCGCGTTGCTCGCAGCAGGCCCGCTCGGCGCGCCGCTGGCACGCTTCGTGCGCCGCCGGCAGCTGGTCCCGCTCGAACTCGTACCTGTGACGGGGAGAGGAGGGGGGGGGGGGGGTCAGACGCAGGCCAGGCACGGCAGAAGTGGGCAGAGAAACGAGGACCTAGGTAGGAGGCGCAGGTGATCACGTGCACGGAAGATGTGGTCAAAAGCGTGGGCGAGTCGGTCAGATGTGACGGAAAGGCTGTCACGCTCGACAGCAGCGCCGGATCTGGCCCGAGGCGAGGGGGACAGGACCGGCGGCCAAACGTCCTATGGGCGGGGGGGGGGGGGGGCTTCAGGCCTGGTCCACACGGCTTGTAGCACGAGCCTGGTCACTACGTTACATGACACTAGTGCGCGGCACCCGTCCTTCCTGTCCCGGTGAGGGGCATGCCACGCCTTACATCGCCAGCCGGGTGCACCGCAAGGATCCCAATGACAACGCCGACATGATAATGGTGCCAATGCTGCGCTCCGAGAGTGACACTGGATGGGCGGCCCAGAAGCCAACGTAACATAACATCCGACTGGTGGCCACAGCTCAGGCCGGGGTCACCACGCAACGGGGGGTCAGCCGCCGAGGCGTGAGTGCACCGCCGTCTTCCACCAAGATCGCGGGCTCCTTCCTCAACACAGAGTGCCTGGATCTGCAGGCCCCTGAGACGCCGCTGCTGAGCGGGCTCGCGATTCTCCGACCCGACCGCGACGTCACGGTTTTGTGCGGGCCAAACCCGCGCTCTCCACTAGCCTATGGTGCCATGAGGCCCCAGAGTAAACACCGTGCCGCCGTGTCCGCGCAGCTGGCGACCGTCGGCCGCGAACAAAGCCACCCCCTATAGGACTCAGCGGCCAGACTGCGCCGCCGAGCCGGCCCAGTTCGGCTGTGTCAAGCACACAAGGCACGGCCGCACATGGCATAGCGCAGCTGCATCACTGCAGGATGCAGTCTACACAGTTGCACCACTGCAGAATGCAGTCCACACATGACTGTGCCGCCGGTTCTGTGGCAGCGCCGGCTGGAGGGCAGCCGCGTCCGGTTTTGCTCGGCTTCGGGAGCGGGGGCGACAGGGTACGGCGGGCCGTGGGCTCAGCGCCGAGACACAGACGACAGGGTGCGGCGGGCCGTGGGCTCAGCGCCGAGACACCGACGACAGGGTACGGCGGGCCGTGGGCTCAGCGCCGAGACACCGACGACAGGGTACGGCGGGCCGTGGGCTCAGCGCCGAGGCACCGACGACAGGGTACGGCGGGCCGTGGGCTTAGCGCCGAGACACCGACGGCACGGCACATCAGATTGACCGCGGACGAGAGACGACGGTCGCGAGTCAGTCGGCGAGTCAGAGGCAAAATGACCTGAGACAAGCGAGTAGGAGGCACAATGACATGAAACCGGCTAGTCGGAAGCACAATGATCTGAGATGGGCAAGTTAGAGGCACAATAGCTGTGAGAGGGGCGAGTCAGAGATACAATGGCCGTGATAGGGCGAGTCAGAGATACAATGGCCGTGATAGGGCGAGTCAGAGATACAATGGTCGTGACAGGGCGAGTCAGAGATACAATGGCCGTGATAGGGCGAGTCAGAGATACAATGGTCGTGACAGGGCGAGTCAGAGGCACAGAGGCACTCGTACCGGACGGGGGCGAATCGGGTGTACAGCGCCCGTAACACAGGCGAGACGGCGCAACGGCTACTGTGACACGAGGGAGCTAGGAGCGCAGCCAACTTACCGTGCCAAGGTAAGTCGGAGGCGCAGCCACCCTGACCCTGGTGTGAATCGGACACCCGGCTGTCGTGCGCCCCTCCGCACAGAGGCCGTTACCGCCCCCGTAACGACCCACGTCCATGTGGTGCAGTCACCGCGTACGCCCCCCGTGAGCGCTGCACGACCACTGGCGGCAGTCCGCCCGGTGCCGACGGGGAGGGGGGGGGGGAGGGGGGGGGGCATGACGGCGGCTTATCACGATATACAACCGCCGGGGGCGCTGCGTCAACAGCAGCCGCGTCAAGGTCAGACAACACCGCGTCCAGACTGCAGCGGCCGCTGCCGGGCCATGCACGTGAATACTGAATGCGCACCGAACTTCCCTCGGCCTGGCAACTGGCGAGGCTCTGGAGAGAAGAGGCGAGGCGCTGGGGCGGCTGAGGGTCGCTGGTCGCATGCCTGAGGTATATCCGCAGGCAGGACTGCAGTACTGAGCGCACGCGACCGCTTTCTCGCTGGCGTCCAGTCAGCCTTCTAGTCACAGGGATGACCACAAGGGGCCGACAGCAGCGGCCCATCAGCCGCGAGCGAGGCCGGGAACCGAAACACTGCACAACGTTGCGCCCCCGGCCGGGTGAGTCACCCAGCTTTCCGGTCTACGGCGGTGGGCTGTCGGGGTTTCCAACCGCAACTTCTGCTCTGTAAACAAGCGCTGCTCCGGCGCAATTCCAAGGACATTGTCGCGTGTTGCCAGACGAGGAACTCGCCGCGGCAGGCTTCTGTGGGTCCTTCCCGACTGGGCGTGAGTACAGGATCCCGTAACGGAAGGCCCGGGGCGGGGGGGGGGGAGGTTCGCCATGCAGTCGCCGTCGCCAAGTCATGGCAGGGCAAGGGAAGAACGTGATATGTGCATGGCATATAGTTCTCTTGCGAGCACGTACAATGTACATGTGTATAAGCGGATGCCGACAGTGTTCTGGTTGCGTGGTGTGGGCGGAGACTTTCAATGAAGTGCATGATAACAGACAACCATGCACTCTAGACGGCGGCGAAGAACGGCAATTGGATCCTTACCATTGTCGCAATGTGATAATAGTCACCTTCGTAACTTCCCGATGAATATGATTGGTTGTCTGCGATACCGTTTAATACTGAAGACGACCTCGAAAACCAAAAGTAAGATAACACTGTGCACAGAAATGTCTTTCATAAAATCACAAGCAGCATTGCTATGGCACACCAACGCATCTCATGTGTAAATGCGGCAAGAAATGGACCGAGAGAATTACTGAAGCTCGCAAAACCCACCTCCCATCTTTCATGAAGAAGTCGTCGGCGGAGCAGAGGACGGCATCGGGGTACCGCTGGAGAATCCGCTTGGCCAGATGCGACTTCCCGCTGCCCGGCAGTCCCTTCATCACAAATAGGACCTTCGAAGTCCTCAGGTAGTCCACTGTCTCATCGTCGTCCAGGAAAGGGTAGACATCCTTGCTTTTGATCAGGGTCTCAAACCCGTGCACCGGTCTCCGCTTCGGCTGGGGCCCGGCAGCCTGCGCCGCCAGCGGTTCTGAAGTATCCTCATGCTGGTCTGATGATGACGGCTCATCCCGGGGTCTCTTACCGCGCGCACGAGGAGCGGCGCCGTTGGACGGGTAGGCTGCCGCCCTGTGTCCCACCGCGGCGGCGACAGGAACGGCCCTGGTCACCACACTCTCCTTGATCACAATTTCCTCGTTTTCCAACGGCGCTATGTGGTGCACGGATTTGGCCAGGGTGAAGATCTTGCCGCCGCACTCGTCTAGCCCGTCGGAAGCCGGCTTGGGCTGGCCGTCCGAAGGCCACCACTGCGGCTTGATCTTGGTCAGAGCCTGCCCCATGATGCGCTGAATGCAGCCAGAGACCACGTACAGGACAACAGTCAGGGACCCGATCATAGGCGCAATGCCGGTCCAAGTGCCCTCTGGGTTCTTTTACCATGCCCAGTTCTGGGCAGAAGCACTCCAATCCCGCTGTAATGTTCCGCGTTGGTGTTCAACGATTGACGCCCTTACAAATTTACTGGCGCAAGTGCACTATCACTTCTGTGGCTTGTAGAAAATCTGTGGATCAGGGCAGTATGTAACATAATTACTGATCTCACCAACAAAGTAAAGGACATGCCACTGCAGACCACTACTGCTGTCATTCCATTGCACCTCTTTTCAAAATGATTATAACATGAATGACAATATCAGAGTGAACAAGAAAAACTTAAGTTACAACAGCTCTGTTCCAATCTAGAAAATACACTCAGATTGGGCTGGAATGAAACCTGTGGTTATACCTAGCAAATGGCACAGAAGACAGATCCTGACCACTGCACTGCTCTCAATGCCTCAGCAGTACAGAGCCACTGACTACATTCACACTAGCAGCCTACCACCCAGGGCCTAGGATCTGTGATGCCATAGGACTGCCCTCAGATTGTGGCCTTTTTATAGCTAATGGTCATTGCCAGGTATAAAAGCTGCTTTGTTTTTATTGTGGTAGGCATCTGATAACATTGGACTCCTAATAATCATCTCTGATTTGTTTGCATTTCCATTAAACACATCACTGTGAACATTTAAGCATTCTCTGATGCAAGTTGTTGGTTGCTTTCTGAAATGGCAATATAGAGCTGTTATCACCTCCCCAGTTAATATATGCCTGTACATAGGCTACGCACAGCCTATGCTATGTACTACATAGCTCATAGATACACAAATAAGGGCAAAATTTGAGGGCTTGTAGATCACACTTAACTGTAAAAAACAGGTGGATGAAATAGAACATATAATAACTTTACCTTATTTTCTTTCTCCTTACCCAATACCCTTGGTGGAATATTTTAATATTTGATGGGGCAACAACAAAAAACAAATACTGCTTTGTTGAATTCTTCCTGGCATATGAGAAACAATAGAACAAAGAGTTTGTGACAGTTATAAAAAGTAGCAGTTTAGAAATGCTACTTTTAATGACAAACTAAATTTACTAAGGCCATTACCCAACTCTGACAGCCAAATGACCAAAGCTATAATTCATTACATCATTAGCTCCACTCATCAAAATAAGATGTTATTTCAGGCTGCTTCAACAAATGAGAAAAAAAAATCAGATAAACCATACCATTAACTTAAAAGCCTTTTTTACTTTGGTACCTGTACGGCCGGCGGAGGGAAGAGCTACGCTTACTGCAGGGTTCGTGTACTGTCGTACTGGGGAAATGCTGAGGCGTCAGCTGACATTGTGACGTCACTGAAAGTGGTTTTGCATCGATCGGGGTTCTTTTGGGCCGACTGAGGGCCATAAGGCATTTGCTGGCGATATGATGTCACTGGTATTCGACTGGGTATGTGACGTCACTGTCGTGAGGTTTTAGGGCTCTTTTGGGTCAAATGAATGCCGTAGGGCATCACCTGACGATATGCCGTCACGGTATTCGATTAAACATCAGGCGCAACAGGCCTCATTCCATCTTTACCTTTCGTAGCTGTCTGTTGCAAGCATATTAGTGCCCAATGAACGTTTGACCGAATCACCTGAAAGTGTAATGTCACTAATTATCACTTGATACGAGTGCACTTAGGCCCCACGGCCACGGTGTATCATGTTTCGTGAAGTATCATCGGATAGCGTGACGTCACTGATATTCGACTAAATATTGGTCGCAGCAGGCTATGCTTCATTTTTACCTTCGCACCTGTCTACTGCAAGCATTGGCGTGCTGAATGAAAGCTACCAAATCGCCTGAGTGTGTGACGTCACCGGTCATGAGTTTCACCGGTGTTTTTGGGCCCATTGAAGACCACACGGTATCAGCTAATGACGTCTTTGCTATACGACTGACTGTGTGACGTTAATGGTCGTGGGTTTTCACGGGCTCCTTTGGACCGGCCGAATCCCGTAGGGCATCAGCTGACGATATGACGTCACGGATATTTGGCTGAACATCAGGCAGCAGGCCACGCTTCATCTATACCTTTCGTGCCTGTCTGCTGCAAGTATTGGCGTGTTGAAGGGAGGCTCTGCCGAATGACCTATGTATGTGTGGCGTCACTGGTCATGAGTTTTTATGGATTTTGGGGGCCAACTGAAGGCCATAAAGCATAAGCTAACGATGTGAGGTCACTGGCATTCGACTGTATGTGACGTCACTGGTCATGAGATTGGACGGCCTCTTTTTGGCCCATGAAAGGTCATATGGCATTAACTGACGATGTGACGTCACTGGTGTTCGAATAAACTTCAGGCGCGACAAGCCATTCTCCACCTTTACCTTTGGTACCTGTCCATTGCAAGGATTGGCATGCTGAAGGAAGGCTCTGCCGAATTACCTCAGTGTGTAACGTCACTGGCCATGAATTTTTATAGACTGTTTTGAACCCACTATAGGCCATACCACATCAGCTGACCATATGACGTCACTGTTTTTCCACTAGACATCATGCGTAACAGGCCATGTTCTATCTTTACCCTTCGTACCTGTCTACTGCAAGCATTTGCGTGCTATATCAAGGCGATGCTCAACCATCTGAGTGTGTGACGTCACCGGTCATGAGTTTATACAGTTGCACGTGGGCCGCCAAATGTGACAAAACATCATATCCCGTGAAGCATGGTGGGATTATATGACGTCACTGGTATTCCACTCAACATCAAGCGCAACGTTCCATGTAACATCTTTACCTTTCGTACCTGTCTTTTACAAGCATTGGCGTGCTGAATGAAGACTCTGTCGGATCTCCTGAGTGTGTAACGTCACTGGCTAAGAGTTGTTATGGGCTTTTTCAACCCGCTATATGGTATAATGCATCAGCTGACGATTTGACGTCACTGGTGTTCGACTTAACATTAGGCGCAACAGGTCATGTTCCATCGTTGCCTTTCGCGCCTGTTAAACAATTGGTGAGCTGAATGATGCCTATGCCGAATCACCTGAGTGTGTGGTCATGAGTTTTTACAAGCCATTTTTGGCTAAGAGAAAGCCAAAAAGCACCAGCTAACGGTATGTCGTCACTGGTAATCCACTGAATGTGTGACGTCACTGGTCATGAATTTTTACGGGCCTTTTTGGGCCGACCTAAGGCCAATAGGCATCAGATAGCGATATGACGTCACTGGTATTCAATTAAGCATCAGGTGCAATAAGTCATGTTTCATCTTTACCTTTCGCACCTATCTATTGCAAGTATTCGCGCGCCGCATAAAGGCTCTGGCCAATCACCTGAGCGCGTGATGCAACTGGTCATGAGTTTACACGGGTTACTCGGGCTGATTGAAGGACATCAAGCATCATCTGACGATGTGACGTCATTGGTATTCAACTAAACATCAGGCGCGGCAGGCCATGTTCGTCTTTGCCTTTCGTACCTGTATGTGGTAAGCATTGGCGTGCTGAAGGAAGACAATGTGAAGTCTCTTGGGTGTGTAACGTCACTGGTCATGAGTTTTTACGGGCTGTTTCGAACCTCCCATAGGGTTAAAGACATCAGCTGACGATATGACGTCACTGGTGTTTGACATAACCTCATGCGCAACAGGCCATGCTCCATCTTTACTTTTCGTACCTGGCTACTGCAAGCATTCACGTGCTATATGAAGGCTTTGCCGATTCACCTGAGTATTCACCAACACTCAGGAGACTCGGCAGAGCCTTCATTCAGCACGTCAATACTTGTAATAGACAGGTACGAAAGGTAAAGATAGAACATGGCCTGTTGCGCCTGATGTTAAGTCGAACACCAGTGACGTCATATCGTCAGCTGATGCATTATGCCGTATAGGGGCTTGAAATGAGCCCGTAAAAACTCTTGACCAGTGACGTTACACACTCAGGAGACTCGACCGAGCCTTCATTCAGCACGCCAATGCTTGTAATAGACATGTACGAAAGGTAAAGATGGAACATGGCCTGTTGCGCTTGATGTGAAGTTATATACCAGTGACGTCATATCATCCCGTGATGCTTCACGGGATATGATGTTTTGTGGCATTGGGCGGCCTAAGAGAATCCGTACAAACTCATGACCGGTGACATCACACACTGAGATGATTCGGCATCGCCTTGATATAGCACGCGAATGCTGCAGTAGACAGGTACGAAAGATAAAGATTGTGGCCTGTTGCGACGCATATTTGGTATCATGCCGGTGACGTCATATTATCCGGTGATGCTTCCGGGATATTATGCCTTGTAGCCCAGGGTGGCCAAGTGACCTACTAACTCATAATCAGTGACGTCACATACTCAGGTGAATCGGCAAAGCCTTCATATAGCACGCGAATGCTTGCAGTAACCAAGTACGAAAGGTGAAGATGGAACATGGCCTGTCGCGCCTGAGGTTAAGTCAAATGCCAGTGACGCCATATCGTCAGCTGATGTCTTATACCCTATTGGGTGTTCCAAAGAGCCAGAAAAAAAACTCATGACCGGTGACGTTACACACCCAGGAGATTCCAGAGCCTACTTCAGCACGCCAATGCTGGCAATACACAGGTACGAAAGGTAAAGATAGAACATGGCCTGTCGCGCCTGGGGTTTAGTGGAATACCAGTGATGTCATATCGTCAGCTGATGTTTTGTGTCCTTAATTCAGCCCGAGTAAGCCCGCGTTAACTCATAATTAGTTACACCACACGCTCAGGTAATTCGGCAGAGCCTCTATGTGTCGCGCGAATTCTTGCAGTAGATAGGTGCGAAATGTACAAACGAAACGTGGCTTATAACATCTGATGTTAAGTCGAACACCATTGACGTCATATTGTTATCTGATGCCTAATGGCATAAAGTCGGTCCAAAAAGGCCCGTAAAAACCCATGGCCAGTGACGTCACACACTCCGTGAACTACCAGTGACGACATATCGTTAGCTGATGCTTTATGGCTCTCACTCAGCCAAACATAACCTGTAAAAACCCAAGACGTCGTACACTCAGGTGATTCGACAGAGCCATCATTCAGCTCGCGAATACTTTTACAGGTAAGAAGGGCAAAGATGGAGCATGACCTGTTGCGCCCGATGTTAAGTCGAACGCCAGTGACGTCATATCGTTAACTGATGCATTATACCGTATGGGGGGGTACAAAAGGTCCCGTAAAAACCTCTTGACCAGTGACGTTGCACACTCAGGAGATTCGACAGAGCCTTCGTTCAGCACGCCAATACTTCCAAAAGACAGGTACCAAAGGTAAAAGTGTAACATGACCTGTTGCGCTTGATGTTAAGCCAAATACCGGTGATGTGATATCTTCCCGTGATACTCCACGGGATATAATGCTTTGTGGTCTTGGGCGGCCCAAGTGAACCAGTGTAAACTCATGACCAGTGACGTCACACACCGAGATGATTCAGCATCGTCTTGGCGAAGCACTCCAATGCTTGCAGCACACAGGTACGAAAAGTAAAGATAGAGCATGGCCTGTTGCGCTTGATGCTTAGTCGAAACCTAGTGACATATCGTCAGCTGGTGTTTTGTGGCCTACAGTGGGTTCAAAAGAGCATACAAATTAATGGTCAGTGACGTTGCACACTCAGGTAATTCGGCAGAGCCTTCCTTCAGCACGGCAATGCTTGCAATGGACAGGTACGAAAAGCAAAGGTGGAACATGGCCTGTCGCGCCTGAAGTTTATTCGAATACCAGTGACGCCATGTCGTCAGGTAATGCCGTATGACCCTTCGTCGGCCCAAAAGAGGCCGTAAAACTTTGTGACCAGTGACATCACGCACAATCGAATGCCAGTGACGTCACATCGGTAGCTGATGCTTTATGGTTTCCAGTTGGCCGCAAAAAAGCCGCCAATACTTGCAGTAGACATGTACGAAAGGTACAGATGGAGCATGGCCGTTGCCTGATGTTCGGCCCAATACCAGTGACGTCATATCGTCAGCTGATACCTTACGGCATTTCGTCGGTCCTAAACGGACCGCGAAAACCCACGACCACTGACGTCTTACAATCAGTCGTATAGCAGTGACGTCGTCAACTGACACCTTGTGAGCTTCAGTTGGCCCAAAAGCACCGGTGAAGCACATGGCCAGTGACGTCACACACTCAGGTGGTTCGGCAGCTTTCATCCAGCACGCCAATGCTTGCAGCAGACGGGTACAAAGGTAAAAATGAAGCGTGGCCTGTTGCGCCCAGTATTCTAATACCAGTGACGTCACGCTATGCGGTGATACTTCGCGGACCATAACACAACGTGGCCGTGGGGCCTAGGTGCACTCGTATGAAGTGATGACTAGTGACGTCACACATTGAGGCGATGCGGTCAAACCTTTATGCGGCACGCAGATGCTTGCAACAGACAGGTACGAAAAGTAACGATGGAACGAGGCCGGTCGCGCCTGATGTTTAATCGAATACCAGCGACGACACATCGCCAGCGGATGCCTTACGGCATTCAGTGGACCCAAAAAAGCCTTAAAAACTCACGACCAGTGACGCCACATACCCAGCCGAATACCAATGACATATCACTAGCAACAGCCTTGTGGCCTTCAGTCGGCCCAAAAGAACCCGATCCCGATCGATGCAAAACCATTTTCAGTGACGTCACAATGTCAGCTGATGCCTCACAGCATTTCCCCCGCACAACAGTGCCCGAAACCCTGCAGCCAGCGTAGCTCTTCCCTCCGTCGGCCGTACAGGTACCAAAGTAAAAAAATTACCAACTTAAATATACATGAAATCACAGGTGGGACTTCGCATCCCTTTGGGGAATGATCCCCAATGTTGAAGATCCCGCTACATTGGGTGGAGCCTCACAATATCACTGAGCCACCACAACATGGAACTAAGTCTTATCTCTCCACCAGTTCCCTGAAAGATGAGATATAGTTTTACACTGCAAATTTTTGCAATGGGCCGGTATGTTCCAAAAACGTTTGCATGTACAGTGTTCTTTGCCTTTCGGCCAACAATGTTTTGCGGGGGGAAGAGCGTCGGCTTAGGTCTGTAATGAGGACCGGCTAATCAGCTGACGACACGCCGCTCCCAGGCTGGGTAAATCATCCCAATGACAAGTTTTGTGCTTCTCATGACGTCACTAGTAGAAATGTGAAAGTCTGACTTCTTTACTTCTCACGACATCACAAGGATTTACAAGCTCTTTATGATGACAACATTAAAATCCAAGCAGGTGTTCGTAATAACATGTGTCCTTTATCCTACTGACGACATCGCTGGGACGAGTGAATGAATCATCAGTTGAAAACTTCCAGTGGGCACATTTTTCGGCTGTGTTTTCCCGCTGCTCACGACGTTCCTGGAGACTGTTACGAT